TAATATGTATGACCTCATTTACATGTCAGTTTTGATTGGATCTTGCCTGGGACACCGGTAAAAATACTGCAGCATTAATAAGACAGACGCTTATTATTGATGTCATCTACACTGTAAAAAATGGCTCATCAGATCAACCTAAAAAATTACTTCATGTAGTAACAAGCAATTAAACTATTTTTATTGAACTCTAAAAATTCCATTGATTGAAAGAATTGCTTATTCAAAGTATTTATTGAAGTTGAACAAAACTAGTTAATTTACTTGTTACCACATTAACTAATTTTTTAGGTTGATCTGAGGAGCCAGTTCTTAAAGTGTATAATAACAATAACAATGATTTTAACACTAAAGTTTGGTCAGCAGGGGGCAGTGCACTCACTACTCTGCCTCAAATCCACTTTCTAGCACAGCCATTGGCTCACGAACTGCTGAAAGCTGTCATTTTATTGGCTCCCTTCCGAAACATCTGCATGAATTAGGGTTTGCTTCATGTAAATTATATGTAAATTTGCCTTTAAATCTCTGCTCATTTCCACGTTGTACAAGAGTTTCATGACTCAGATGCATAGTGGTTCATACATCATTAAAGGCGACCAAATCTGCACTCCAATACTGGCCAGTATGTGTGCAAATTTGAGGCAAACACATGCTTAGAAAATAAATGTAAAAAATAAAAACAAAGGTGTCTGAATACTTGTTTTCCCCTCACTGTATAGAGTAAAATATATGACCCTTGGCACACGACAAACATTACATTTTGCTCCCTGAAATTTGGATACCTTACTATAAATTATATGAAAGTGACACTGGATTAGTAAATAGCCTTCTCCAAGTCCAGTCAACAGAACTGTGAAAGTTTCTACATCTGTGCACCAAACAGAGAACACTGGTAACTGTAGTGCTTCATCCTCAGCTGGATGCCTGCCCTGTGTTATAGTTTCCTTACTCAGGTCTTCCTGGTGCTTCCAGTTGAGGTTACAGTTACAAGAAAAACCTCAGCAGCTCCAGATCTAACTCCTTATAAATTTAGCCTTGCATTTCTGCTCCAATGTTCAACGGCTCTTAACGGTGCAGACAGACTGATTTTCTCTAAGATCATTATACACTTTTATTACACCTCACTGGCCCCACATAAAGGTAGGCAATAACCACAACAGTTCTTCAGATTATACTCCATGAGCTCTATGTTTTAGCATTTTAACACTTTTGTGGCCTGTTTTTTGAAGTTATTAACAAAGTGAAAGTAAAATAGATAAGTTTGATGATAAGATGATAAGTTTAGGTCTGACAGTGGGGGAAGTTAGGGTGTAAGATTATGTCACAAGAGTAACTTCTGCATGTTTGTTTATCAGTGACAGCTAATTAGAATCTCAAAGTACCTAAAAAAAAACAAAAAAAAAAAACCTCATTCTTGGATTTTTTTTTTGTAATATTTAATATTAACATTTGTAATATATCATATTTTGCTGTTGTGAGAACGTTGGTGTTCAATATTAATTTCTTAGTTTCATTAATTTCTTTGCTGTATATAACAATGTAATTAATGACAATGAATGTGTACTCAAGTTATAAATTATGTTGATGCTTTCTTTTTCTTTGTCAATTAGGAGAGCAAACATTTCTAGTTGGTGAGTAGATGTGAACATCTCTTCATTTAATTGCATTTTCACCTGCCCTTCATTTATCCACCATTCGATATGATCTAAAGATTTTGCTGTAACTATCAAATATAGCAACTGTGCAAAGTAAGGATTTTATAGCAATATATCATATTGTGTTTACTAATTTTTTTTTAATCTCAGCTGGACAGCTTGCTTTGTCAGGCATATAACACTGTGGATGCTCCATCTATATCCTGATTAACTAAGTTAGGTAAGTTACCCTAGTGGAGATGGTGAGAAACAAATTTCTTGGTCTTAGCCTTGAAACTAAATATGCCAAATATTTTAACACACATTTATCACTGTTTACCTAATTGTTTATCTAATTGTCTAAGTTTTCATCAAAAAAGAGCTCTATGGCACAGATGACCATGAAAACTGAGTTTAAAGCTGTAAATTCCACAAATGATAATTTGATAAAAATTGTTTTTAAAACATATGTAGAAAAGCATAACTCTTTGCATGACAGTGCTGTTATTGAAATAAATTGGTGTGTTATAAAATGTGAACACTTCTGAAAACCATTTTCTCTGAACAGTTTGTCGCTGCATTCACAAATGCAAGCTAAAACTCTACCATGCACAGAAGAATTTATATATAAACAGGATCCAGAAACACTGCCACCTTCTCTGGGCCTGAACTCATCTAAGATGGATGGAAAATACAACAAAGGAGGGCGGATATGTTTTAAAAAGCATTTAAAGCAGTTTTAGCATTTGATATATTGTCTTTGTACTATTTTCATTTAATTATAGGCTTTAAATGATTTCTATGTCATTGCATTCTGTTTTTATTGAAATATTGCACAGCATTTTGGAAACGGGGTTATATTACATTATATATTATTGTATATATATTATATCATCTGATCAGGCATAACATTATGACCACCTCCTTGTTTCTACATTGTCCAATTTATCAGTTCCACTTACTATGTAGATACACTTTGTCATTCTACAGTTACAGACTGTAGTCCATCTGTTTCTCTGCATACTTTGTTCTTCAGTGGTCAGGACCCCCATGGACCCTCACAGAGCAGGTACTATTTGGGTGGTGGATTATTCTCAGCACTGCAGTGACACTGATGTGGTGGTGGTGGTGGTGTTAGTGTGTGTTGTGCTGGTATGAGTGGATCAGACACAGCAGTGCTGCTGGAGTTTTTAAACACTGTGTCCACTCACTGTCCACTCTATTAGACACTCCTACCTTGTAGATGTAAAGTCAGAGACGATAGCTCATCTGCTGCTGCACAGTTTGTGTTGGTCATCCTCTAGTCCTTCATCAGTGGTCACAGGACGCTGCCCACAGGACGCTGTTGGCTGGATATTTTTGGTTGGTGGACTATTCTCAGTCTAGCAGTGACACTGAGGTGTTTAAAAACTCTAGCAGCACTGCTGTGTCTGATCCACTCAGACCAGCACAACACACACTAACACACCACCACCATCAGTGTTACTGCAGTGCTGAGAATGACCCACCACCCAAATAGTACCTGCTCTGTGAGGGTCCATGGGGGTCCTGACCACTGAAGAACAGGGTAAAAGGGGTCTAACAAAGTATGCAGAGAAACAGATGGACTACAGTCTGTAACTGTAGAACTACAAAGTGCACCTATATAGTAAGTGGAGCTGATAAAATGGACAATGAACATGGATATATAAACAGCAAGCAAAGTATATTTATATAGCGCTTTATACAACAGGTATTGTCACAGTCTGTAATTGTAGAACATATCCTATATATATCAAAACAAACTCCAGTCTGTCACTTTGCAGATTTCTTTTATAGTTTATAATTTCAGGTTTGGACTGTTTATACAGTACACAGTCATCTATGCATTTTTGTGGACAAGTCTGTGAGCTGCTGCACATTCATTTATATCCAATTTAGACTCTTTAAACATGGTGCAGTTTTACAGTTAAACCAGTCCAGCAGCATTTTATATGCCTCTCTTGTTCAACTCTGATCTACTGGCAAGTCCGGATTTCAATCTCTGCTTTGAAACAGGTGGGAGTGTCCAAACAATAGGCACCTACATCTGTAGTGTAGCAGTAATCCAGGATTTTTGGAACCCTGTTAGGATAGGACACAGATACATTATATTAAAAAGCTAAGTCTAAAAAAGACAGTAGGAAAAAAAATGCTAATAAAAATAAAGCAAGCATTCCATTGTACTACTGTATACTTTACTCTTTGAAAAGCTGCATCAATTGTATTCAGTTAACCGTTCACGGTACCAGTGTTTAAACACAAACAACTATTTAGAAAATTGAACACAGAAAAAATAAACAGGCTAACAATTCAGTGAAACATCATGGTTTTGGTTAGTAGGGGGAACAGTGCATTTAATTTCTGTCCTCAAGCACAGCCATTGGCTTATGAGCCGCTGAGTAGTGTCATTTTATTGGCTAAATGTAAATGGAATGTAAATGATGTAAATTAATAATTGTAACGACCCATGTAGCAGTTACAAGCTAACAGAGCATAACAGGTGTTGGTTTAGCTACAGGACAAGATTTAGAGACCACTGGGAGCTTTTATTAGGAAACTATTGGAATGTTTTACATATACCTTCACACTGGCAACACACCAAAAGTCAATCTAATGAGCTGCTAGGTGTTTTTTCTATGTGTCTCACCACAAACATTATCCTTATATATTTGGGCACCCCTGCTATAGATTATATAAAATAGACAATTGTTTAATAAATAGCCTACTCCAAGTCCTCAAGAGAACTGTGAAAAAGTTTCTATACCTATACACCAAGGAGAAGATGCCAGTGACTATAGCAAGTCATGCTCAGCTGGATTCCTGCCCACTGTCATAATTTTTTCATTCACTTCTTCCTGGTGCTTCCAGTTGCGGCAACAGTGGCAAGAAAACCACAGCAGCTCCGGATCTAACTCCTTACATTCTGATAATTTGGAAAAAAGTGTTCAAGACCTCTTGGTGATGCAGATAGACTTAGTAATCTAGGCTTGTTGTGACTCTATTCAAGATTATTTTACATGTTTTAGTACACCTCACCGGCTCCACATAAAGGTAGGCTGTGATTTTAATCAGTGGCTGCTATCTGAGCCTTTCTACTTGGCAGATACCACAACAATTTATCATATTTTACTCTGGGTTTCTAAATTTTCATTCATTTTAACACTTTTGTGGCTTGTTTTTTGAAGTTATTAACAAAGTGAAAGTAAAATGGGTTCAAGTTCAGGTCTGACAGTGGGGGAAGTTAAGGTGTAACAAGAGTACTATGTCTTGAAAGTGTGCATTGCATTTCAAACGCAGTAATGTTGTACATGCGAAATGTGCATTATTTCTAATTGTTTCTTGTTCAGCTATAAATATTAACTACATTGGGTTTGTTTTTTACTTAGCTTTCATTGAAAAGAGCACCGGAGCCAAAAGACCATGAAAACAGGTGAGTGTCAGAATATGTCATGAGCTTTGGGCGTTTATCATGAACATACTTGTTTAAGTAGTTTGCATTTGTCTGTATTTTCAGTATTTTTACATGGATTGCAATATTCAGTTAAATAAGAATGTATTTTACTAATATTGTTTTCCGTTAACAGTTATGCTCGTCCTACTGTTGATGTTTGACCTTCTCACTTGTTCAAATGGAGGTAATTCATTTGCAGCACCATCACATACATTACAATTGTAAGACTTGAAACATAGATATATAACAAATATAATGCAAATTTAAGTTGATTAAAAATAATCTCTCTCTTCTAGGTACATTTTCTTTGTTGGTACCTCATGGATTCATCTCAGCTAAAATAGGATCTTCTGTTGTCCTGGAATGTGGACTTTCCACTGCGTTGGACAGTAAGAGCTATGAAGTACGCTGGCATCGACCCAATAAAAAAGACAACCCGATTTTGCTCTACAAAGACCAAAAGATCCAAGAGAACCCTGGAGATCCTCAGTACAGAGGCAGAGTATCTCTGATTGGAGAACTGCAGAAAGGGAACATCTCTCTGAAACTGGAGAACCTCACACTGGCAGACAGAGGAGAATATGTGTGTTATGTCCAGAGTACTGAATGGTATGAGAGGGCTAGTGTTATCCTGAATATTACAGGTGAGAAATTAATGTAATTATCTGGATAAGATTGTTCTAAACAAGTTGTATCTATTTAAATAAGTTTTGTTCATTTTATTTGTTTATTTATTTAGCTACATGTATTTTAGTAATAATCCAGCTAAAATAGTTTTCAACATGTTTGTTCATTCATTCAATATAAAATCACCTACTTTACCTTTTATTCTAGTGGTTGGATCTCCTCTTCTCCTCTCATTCGCTGATGTTGGAAAACAGTTGAACATTACCTGTGCATCAAGCGGATGGTCACCAAAGCCCACCCTCACCTGGAGAGACAAAGGAGGAAGAAAACTCAGGAACAGTGTTGATCACTATAAAACAGGTTTGTACATAAAACAGATATAAAAATGCTACTGGTCCTAAAGTTAACGCTCGTAGCTAAAGCACCGTCCAAATTTCTGTTCCTTTTTAGAGTAAACAGTAATGGTATTATAGCTGGAATAACTAATCAAGTGTTATAGAAGCATCATAAGTCAGTTTTGCAACAAACCAACACAAAAAGTCAGAACTGTCTTACATTTTTAAATAAAAGACATTTATTGAAATGTTTGTGGTTACAGAAAATTTCTGATTTTTCCACAATTTAAACTCACTATGTTGTAATCCGCTTTAGAAATAATTTGCCAAAATAAACCACTACAGAAAGCTGTGGTGCCGTATAGTTAATAAATAGATCTAAAACTTAGACACTGTAAATTCTGGGAAACTGCCTAATGTTAGCACAACAAGCATACAACATACAAAGTAGTAAAATTCAAGTTACCAATGAGCTAACAGTCAAAGTCAAGAATTTTCAAGTATAAAATAATTACTGTGTATGTTTACTAACAGATTTTAAATTAATCAACTTTTAGTCTTTGTACATGTTGTTTCTAGTTTCTTTATAGCTATTTGGAAAGTGTGAAGCAGTTCCATTTTTATGTAAAACAAACACTTTTTCAGGGTAAGCATGCATTCCATTATACTGCCATAACTAATTTTATTTATTAGTGTTTTGGTAGGTGTGCAGCCACACAAAAGACTTAAAAAAAAAAAAGAGCCACTGTAAGCTAATTAGCTCATCTGAAGAGGCAGCCTCCATTACTCTTCCAACAGAAAAATGTACAGAGGTTCCTCAGCTGTTTTGATTAATAAAATATATATGATCATGTACTCTTACGGATACACTACTATCAAAATTAGTCGGGAATAGTCTCTAATTAACAACTCCTTAAGAACAACTCAGTAAAAAGACAAAGCATTATTTAACCACCAGCATTTACACAACTGATACATTAAACTCATATTTTTTAATACTAAGTAAACTGGCTATAGTTTCCTCCACAAACATTGGCACTCCTGGTAAACAGAAGCAAAACGGGCTGTAATTTTTTTTTTTTCATTTTCTCCGTCAGAAACTGTCAGTGTCTGAGAGAGTGAGTGCTTGGGAAAGAGAAGATGTTTGTTCACTGGAGCCGGTGCTTGTGGAAAATGTCTACAGTGACACTACAAACCATGACCCAGCACACCCCCCTGCAGGCATATCTGCATGTTTAGCTTTTTGCCAACTAGTTTACTGTTAGCAAGCTGTTTCAACATCTCCAGTAGAGGTCTGTTAGACTGTTTTTTCAGTCCCGCTCTTGCCCAACCCCGCAAGATTTCATCCCACTCCTGCACTCCAGAATCGGAATCATTTGTCCCGCTCCCGCCCCCAGCCAAAACGTTTTGGCCCACTTCCACCCTCGCAGTTCTGTCAAGGCGAACTGACATCCAATACGCGTCATTGTCTACTCACAAATACACTATTTTCTGCTGAAGTAACACAGCAGACACGGTCATCAGACTCACTGTGAAGTAACTTCTTTGAAAGCCATTTATTCCTAGTAACAACAAAGCAGGTATTAAATCACAGTGTTACGTGTGAGCGAGGTTTTTTTTTCTCTCTCTCTCTCGTCTTATTTGCTCTGTTTTACCTATCTTTCACCTTATAGGTGGATCGAAGTGTCACTCTTCACTGTTACTTTTGACCAGTCAGAGATCCCAATTAGATCAAGAAGGGGCGGGGCTTCGCACAGCAGCTTCTCGGCTCACTTGTCTGGCTGGCAGTGGTTACATTGCTGTGTTAATTAGTAAATGCCGACTTGTTTGTTTGTTTTGTTTGTTTGATCTATTAGTTCTTAACTATACTGTTCTGATGGCTCTGGCCTTGGCTTTGTTACTGTTGTTGTCACTGTTAACTCTTTGTTTACTGGGCGACGTTATTGCCTGTTTACTACTTAAAGAGTAACTACACCCTAAGATCTTTTTTTTTCATTAATAGCTGAAACGCACTGCTCTGTAGTAATAAAATATACCAGACTTGCTTAAAACGTGAACACATCTTTCCAAGCTGGTAAAATAGCGTTTTGCCTCTGCTATAGGCGAGGATGATGTATTTTCGTACTGAAGTGCGATGACACATCACAGTATGCAAATCAGTCAAACAATGTTACCGCCCCCTGATGATGCCCTACTCGTGCTGCGCTCATAGCACAGGAGCCGAGATCGAGGAGATTTTATATTGTTTATGTATGGGTTTAGTGATAGTTCTACTTTATTTAGGCTAGTCATTAATTTGCGGGATTTCCCATGGGAAAATTAGTCCCGCGGCTCCCACTGGAATCTGTGGGAGTGCAGACCTCTAATTTCCAGCTAACATGACTCATCTAGTGTTTTGCTTATAGTTATTTTCACCTATCTATTGATTTATTACTTTGAAGATGTTAGCTAGCTGACGTTATTGTACTCTGATTCATTTATACCCTTTATTTAGTTTGGACTCCCACATTGTTATTTGGTTCTCCAACAATTCTGGACACATCCTTGAATTTCAATCTTGGCAACTATGACAAAGATAAAGTGACACACCTATCTGTGGTGAGCTGAAATGATACAAACGCCTCTATAGGTTAATAACTGTCTGTAAGACAATAGTGGAACTTGTTGAACTCAGCATTTGCGCACTTCCATTTCTTATGAAAAGGGCCTTTTGGACACATTAATTAGGTTTTGGGGTCAGAATGAATGAAAGCTTCGGTCATCAAGGATTAACAACCTAAAGCTTCTACAGTTTCAGAAAAGTACTTCATCCCCACTTTCAAATATGGTGGTGGATTGATGATGTTCTCCCTTTTTATCTAGTAGTATAAAAGGAAGTAAGAAAGATCCTCGTAAGACAGTAGAGTGAATATCACTGAGATGATCTACAATAAATAGTATAACAGTATAGAAAACTTCTCCCTCATTAATGAGCACTAAATCTCTCTCTCTCTCTCTCTCTCTCTCTCTCTCTCTCTCTCTCTCTCTCTCTCATTCTCTCATTAAGACTCTGAAGGGTTGGTGAGTGTGAGCTCTTGGCTGCTTCTCTCTCCCTCTGAGTCAGAGTGGATCTCCTGTTCTGTGGGTTTATCTAATCAGGAGATGAGAGAGGGAAGAGTGCTGCCACTCAAACCTGCTACTGCAACATCAGAACCTGGTTAGTCCCATACTATTCTGTCTGATGATGTTCAACTGTCATCTCAATATTTGTGTTATATATTACTAAAATACATGTTATATTTGATCAGGAGTTTCTTCAGGATGGAGAGCCTTCACCATTTTATTGGTTATTAGTCTGCTGGCATTCACTGCAATGACAATGATTAACCCAAAGATTAGAGGTAGGAATTGTTTAGTTATCAGTGAAATCTAATAAAAGCTTCATACAGTCAGACAACATTGTAACATTTGGAATTTTTCTGGAATACAGGCCTCATTTTCCCTAAAGACAAAAAGGCTCCACCAGAAGGTAAGACTCACTGTGAACAAGCTGCATCTCCAACATTTATTGCATTATACTGATTGCTTCATTGGTAGAAAATGTTTAGTTATCAGTGAAACATAATAAAAGCCCAAAGTTTTGGGATTTGATGGAACATAGGCCATAATGGATTGAAAGACCTAAAGCTCACTTGAGTAGGTCAGATTCAGTCTGCTGTAATGAGGAAGTGGATCTTCAATATTAATTTATTAGTCTAGAATAATTACTTTGCTGTTAGTAATGTGATGCAATTACTGAAAAACTGAAAATCAATTTATAAATAAAAATATAAATGGTGTTGATGCTTTCTTTCTCTTTAAGGTCATTTAGAAGAGCAAAGACTTCTTGCTGGTGAGTACATTTGAGTAACACCATAATTTCACTGCATTTCATGCTTCCTTCATTTGATAATTTTCAGAAGTGTGCACTTATAACAGTCCACCATTCAATATGATTTAAGCTGCACAAATGAAGGATTTTAAAACAATGTTATCAAACTGTTCAGGTGTTCACTGAATTGCGTCTTAGCCCGCATGTTATCTTTGTCAGTCACATAATTCTGCAGATGTAGAAAACAGTCAACTGAATAAGATTTTATATATTAAAGATTTTATAACATCAAAATTGATTGACATTTAATGTTAATACTCTAAATTTACAACATTTACTGGAATCATTGCTAGCCTTGGTAAACATGAGGGGAAAAATAAACCCTCATTGCAGCAAAATTATACAGACTTATAAATAATTCTAGATGGAACTGTATGTAACTGTTAAAGATAATGTTGAACATGTTTTTCATTAAACAGGGACAGAACCAAAAACAGTTAACACAGGAACAAATGCAGAAAAAGAAAACCAAGGTAAATTTTCAGAATCTGTATTCTTCTTCTTTGCATTGTGGAACTGCATGGTTTAAAGCAACACTATTTAGGATTTGTGGATTTGGAGACCTCTCTGGTGGAAAAATGTAATTGCACACAGTGTGCGTTAAAACATTTTGTAACGTCGGTTGTGCTTCGGATGAATCTGACTTTAGTGAGAACATCAAAGAGAATTCAAAGAGAACTCGGAACTTGGTGAAGGATGCGTCTTCTAAGGATGTGAATGAATCATCTACCATTGGCCTCATAAGTTTATCCAGTATAATGTCGAACCTTCTTTTTGAGCATGTGTGTGTGACGTACATAACGACTTCAAACTTGTCTTTAAAATACATAAAGACGTACAACGTGGTCTGAAAAACTCCTGCCAAATCTCTCCCAGTACATCTGACTTTTAAATGATTCATTCAGGCTGTACAGGGTGACTCACAGCAGCACCTTTTTCTCTATACTCAGTAATGCTACTTCTTTCAGTGTTAAAGAAAATTACATAGTGTTGCTTTAAATGAGTAATTTAGAATTAACACTATATCTGCCTATTAGCAAAAAGTGAATAATTGTTCTTCACTGAAAGTTTGTCATGTTTTCAGTGCAAAGTCAGGCTGACAAACAACAATAACACATTTGTATAGAATTTGCTCATATTCACCAAAGTTGCCAGTAATTCTAGATGGAACTTGAAGTGAATGTTAAAGCTATTTTTCTTTGAACAGATACAGAAACAGTTATTACAGAAAAAACTGCAGAAAAAGGCAAACAAGGTAAATTTTCATATTCTTATTTCCGTTTTATTCATAAAAAAATGGTTGAAGAAAAAAATATTTTTTTAATTTAACACTTCTTTACATTAGAAACCTGCATGGTCTAAATGAGTAATTTAACATTAAATCCAAGTTTGCCCATTATCATGCCTTAAATTGCACTTAAATTACCATGCTGTAAAACTGCATCAACTTGATGTGTTTTTTTTAAAAGAAGTTCAATCAGTTTATAATCTGTCCATGTTTTTATCTCAAAGGTAAAAATATTGAACTTCACATTTCTACCTATGACCATGCATGTATCACACAGAACACCTTCCTCTGAAGATCTTCCTCACCTATACTAATAACACTGTTTGTTTCATGTCCAGTTGTTTAGTCAGTCAGCAGTAAATCCTCTCTATTTAACAACCTCACAAGAAATATGTATAAAACTGTAAGGGTGAACTTTAAAGAGTCATATTTATTTTAGAGTCCAACCTTCCATCAGACCAAGATTTTAGAATCAATTTAGAACAATGTCTGACATTTAATGTTAATACTTTGAATTTACAATGTTCTTCAGAATTATTGTCAGCCTTGGTAAGTATGATGAGAAAAATGGACCTTCACTGAGGCAAAATTTTACAAATGAAAAAATCTTTATAACAAATACACATTTTGCTTAGAAACACGTGGTATGCTAGATTCTAGATGGGGTGGCAGAACACATAGAAAGTGGTCTGACTTCATTTCAGTTCAAACTCTCTCCATGTGCTTCTGAGACCTCAGTCTTCACTTGGTCCCGCTGGTTTTCAGGTTTTCTTTGTATTTGGCTCACTTCGTTGCAAACGCTCCAACTTATTTGATGGAGTCTATTATGCCATGGAACTCACAAGATTTTTAGGATCTAAGGAAGTAAAACACGTCAACAACATTTCCACCACTATATTTCATACCGAGGACATGGTTCTTTTCTGCATGACTGTAGCCTGATTTGGACGGGATTTATTATACATTAGGGTCCTGGGCTAATGTCCTCTCTTACAGATGTTACAGATTGGCCGTGGCAGTTTTTGTCCTCTCTTGAGAGGTTACAGACCAAAGTACTTACTGTTTTTTACCAAAATACCAAAACATACTCGTCCTGTGGTAATTTTATTGCCATTGAGTTGCAAAAATATTTAATGTCTTTCCAAGTACTTTATCTAGGGAGAGTCCCAGTGATGTTCAGCACACTTCAAGAGCTTGCATTTTGTTGGTTCTTGAAAGGGAGATAATAGAACAAGACCTTTTTCCAAGCATTTTGGAACAGTTCTACTGGTCCATCATCATGACATTTTCAGCTGGTATTTACAAATTGAAAAATGGAGATAGGAGGTTTTGTACAGACAGCGACAGTTTGTGGTTTGATAATGTTGAACCTGTTTTTCTCTCAACAGAGGCAGAAAAAGTTAACACAGGAACAAAGGAAGAAAAAGAAAAACAAGGTAAATTTACAGAATCTGTTTTATTTTTCTTTGCATTGTGGAACTGCATAGTTTTAAGCAACACTACGTAGGATTAATTGCACACAGTGAGCGTTAGAACAGTTTGTAACGTCGGTTGTGCTTCGGATGAATCTGACTTGAGAGTGCATTAAAAGAGAATTCAAAGAGAACTTGGTCGAAACTTGGTGAAGGATGCGTCTTCTAAGGATGTGATTAAATCATCTACCATTTGCCTCATAAGTTTGTCCAGTTTAATGTCGAACCCTCTTTTTGAGCATGTGCGTGTGACGTACATAAAGACTTTTAACATGTCTTTAAAATACATAAAGATGTACAACGTGGTCTGAAAAACTCCTGCCAAATCTCTCCCAGTACCTTTGCCTTAAATTACTATTTCAGGCTGTACAGGGTGATTCACAGCAGTGCATGCTCACCATTATTTTGTGTATTCTTTTTTATCTATACTCAGTAATGCGACTACTTTCAGTGTAAAAAAAAAAAACCTGCATAGTGTTGCTTTAAAGGAGAAATTTAGAGTTAAAGCTACATCTGCCTATTAGTAAAAAGTGAATAATTGTTCTTCACTAAAAGGTTAGATTATCCTTATATTTTCGGTGTAAAGTCAGGCTAACAAACAACACATGTTTATAGCCTCAATTGATTATATCCACGAAAGTTGCCAATAATTCTAGATGGAACTGTGTATAATAACTGCATTTGCATCAACTTGATGGATTTTTAAAATTAAGTTTAATCAGTTTATAATCTGTTCATGTTTTTACCTCCAAGGTAAAATTATTGAACTTCACATCTCTACCTATGACCATGCATGTATCACACAGAAGAAAACATCTTCCTCTAAAGATCTTCCTCACCTATACTAATAACACTGTCTATTTCATTTAGTCATTCTGCAGTAAATTCTCTCTATTAAATAACTTCACAAGAAATATATATAAAACTGTAAGGGCGAACTTTAAAGAGTCATATTTATTTTAAAGCGGGGTCCAACCCTCCATCAGACCAAGATTCTGCTCAGAAACAAACAGCTACCAGAACCCTTCAAAACTCAGATAACACCATCACATTCACCATCATGTAGTGATTATGTAGAGATCAATACACCTGAAGTGCTTAAAAGTAGAATCAGAGAAAGTAAATTCAGAAACACTGTGATATGATGAGCATCGTCTGATAGCCTAACCTGGAACAAATCACATTTTGTTTTGAGACAAATAAGCACAACTGAGACACTCAAACTACAACTTAACTTAAAAATACTTTTATTACATACTTCTATATATAAATACCACTTTTCACGTGTTTTGTTTCCATTTCATTCATTATATTTTCCCACTGTTCCAAATTGATTTTGATAAATTTCCAAAATTAATATTTTTAAACTCAAAAGTATACATCAGTTTACAACTAGTTTTATTAAAAAGGCCAGATAATGTTAAACTTAAACTTAACCTCGTATGTTTAAGATATCTTTGGCATTTACAAATAAATTTGAGTGGGTGAAGATAGATCTATAGGATAAAACTATGGCATATATTCAGACCTTTCAGGAAAATAGTAATACATTTGTCTTGACCATTATGTCCAAAGGTTAATCAAAATGTCTCTCTAGTTTAATGTTGCTAAGTATTATTTGAATGTACACATTATTAAGCCACAAGATAATTGTTATATAAAAACCATGGCCCAGCTGACATGTACTTTTGTGACAGATATTCTTATAACTGGTAAGATAATATTATAACCCTAATTCCAAAAAAGTTGGGATGCTGTGTAAAATGTAAATAAATGTAAATAAAAACAGAATGAAATGATTTGCATTTCTTATTCACAATAGAACATAGAACACATATCAGATGTTGAACGTGAATGTTTACCATTTCATGAAAAATATTAACTCATTTAGAACTTGGTGGCCAAAACGCATCTCAAAAAAGTTGGAACAGGGGCAACAAAAGGCTGGAAAAGTAAGTGTTACTAATAAAAAAACAGCTGGAGGAGCAATTTGAAACTAACTCACATGACTGAGTATAAAAAGAGCATTTTAGAGAGGCGGAGTCTCTCGGAAGCAAAGATGGGCAGAGGTTCAGCAATCTGCGAAAAACTTTTGAAAAATTGTGGAAACATTTCAGAAAAATATTCAACATAAAATTGTGAAGAGTTTGGATATCCCACCATCTACAGTACATAATACTATCAAAAGATTCAGAGAATCTGGAGGAATCCTTGT